AACATGTTTTACAGGTTTAACAGACATCAAATTATGTAAATATTATAGCATTTTGTAAAGCTTAGCTCTAGTTTTTGTCACAATAAACACTCCTTTTTTTTAAAAAAAAAAAAAATCATTATTATCATTATTATTGTTATTATTATTCCTATTATTACTAGTATTATTATTTAGAAGAAATCTTCAGAAGATATCACTATTGTTGAAGTAGTAAAAGACGACTCTATAAAGACCCGATGAGATCTTAGACAAATTGACTTGCTTGGTTACATTATATAATGTAAAAATTAATAAATACTATTTGTTGTTGTTACTTGGTTTACGATCATTGACATCAGTCATTTGCGATGAAACTGCATGATCCCGCTTTCCAGATATCTCTTCCTTTGTTCGATACAACCGCTTTAAGTTGTGTGTATAACTGCGATGATCAATCATTTCTTCATATCTTTCTCCGCAGTTCAAATATATGATCTTTCATGTATTCACTTGCATTCGTCACCATCTACGCGTATATTACGAACTCACAATGTGGCCATCTCCCAGTTGGCTTGATAGCTCAGTTGGTAGAGCACTGCACCGGTATCGCAGAGGTCATGGGTTTGAATTCCTGACGTACAGGCCTGAATTTTTTTTTCAGGCTTCAATTTGTCTTGTCTTTTAATTTCGAAGTCGTGTGATGAAACGTGAATTTGCTTATCTATGTATTTCCTCATGGCTTGCAAAACATACATTAACATCTGGTTCTTTGGTTTCTGCCCTTTTTGATTTGCTAGCTCAGAGGCAAAATACTTTAATTTCAGTGGAACACTTCTTTTGAGAGTAGTAACAACTGTAATATTTCAGCTTTAATTCTAGAAGGTCGCTTTACCTTTTACAAAGTCATTCCCTTACCCTGTCGTTTTAGTCCCCTCACGCCGTGTTACGGTCAATGCCTTTTATTATCAGATGGCTTTATAGCGCGTTCATGGTGGGTTGCACATGTACAGTACAAAGTTTTACAAAGTTGGGCCAGCGACAGTTTACATACATAACGTAACTAATGTTCCGGGAAAGATCGCTGGTTGATTGCTTATTCGTGGGGTAATTTTCGCGCTCGAGAGCTCGAGTGTCCGGTCGACTCGCTCCGGCGCCATTACTGTGTGGCTTTACTCCTACAGGCAGAACATGGCTCACAACTATGTAGTGACGGCACACAAGCCAACAGCCGTCAATGCAGCGGTGGTTGGCAATTTTACAGCAGCTGACGATCTGAATTTGATCATTGCCAAGAACACGCGGCTGGAAATTCATGTTGTAACTCCGGAGGGACTGCGACCCCATCTCGACATCGGAATATATGGACGAATTTCTGTCATGGAGCTCTTTAGACCGGCGGTGAGTTTCGCGTTAATACCTACGGACTCCAAAGCATGTGAATTTGTTTTCCTTTTTAATTGTACACCTTAGGTTGTTGAGAAAGTTGTTTACATTTGAACGCCTCAATCATTATGTGATCGATTTAGAGAAAGTTGTTCATGTGCACCTGAAATTGAAGAAGCCATTATTTGTTGTGGTATCTGTAACACCCGCTTCTTAGCTTAAAAGCTTCCCCGCTGCTTAATTCTTAGGGATAGTTATATCCGTAAATTTTCTCAAGCAAGTTGAGCACTATTTGAAGCCTAGGAAATTTCTAATTTAGCTTAACCCCCTGAAACCTTCGTGAGGAAATACGGTTCCAGTAATCCCGCTATTGACCGGTATTCACTGAAGAATAGACTTGCTCTTTTTAGATATTTTGCTATTTCATTTTCGAACATACATGTTCAAATGCAAGCCTAATGAGCTTTGGTTGGTTGCAAATGTTTCGAACATGTGCTACAAATGTACTTGAGATTCGAAGCAGTTCCCTCGAGATTTAATAAATTCTTGCAAGTGATGGCAAGTGAAAGTTGGCCCTAATCCCCAGGGACAAGAGATGATTGCTGTATGCATGTATGTACTGGTACATTGTAGGAGCAACTTCAGAATACCCGGCCACTTTATTTACATGTGCCGGTGTGCTTTGAAGAACGAGGTATATAACAATAGTTGCTATTTTTATTCAATGAGATGCTAATAAGTGGCCAGGTATTCTGGAGTTTAGCTACATTGTATCTCGCATGGGAGAAAATGGGGCAAAATAATATGGGAAGTTGGAGAGCAAGAGCTTGGAGTGGAACCTAATGCAACAACTCTTTCCCATCACGCTCTATAAATTTCAATGCTTCAGGATTGATGACTAAAAAAATTCTAAAAAAATCGGATTATTATCGTTTCCCCTGAAATTTGGAGACATAAAACTAGAGATAATTACCTAAGCACATGGCTAGTTTCACGTGGAATGCTTCA